TTTTATTGAAGGTAGAACAATTTCATCTTCAAGTAGTAAAATCAACATTAACTGTTGATTAAATTTTTTTCAAGCAAATTCAATCAAGTATGTCCTTTGATCTTCTTGTTCAAAATATCAAAAATACTTCTTTTAAGTCTTATGATACTTTCAAGTTCAAATTCAAGAAAAACCTACTTTATTTTAAAAGACACTTATATGTTCCAAAAAGAGAAGCACGTTAACAAGTTTTTTAAGCATGTCACAATTTTTCAACAATAGAACATTTTAGATACAACAAAACTTTGGAGCTAATATTTAAAGATTTTTGGTAGTTGCAAATGTCAAAGGCTATAAAAGACTTTGTTCAATGATGTGACATTTTTTTAAGAACAAAAACTCCTTGTTATTCACCTTATGGACTTCTTCAACCATTACATATTTCAGAGCAACCATGGTCTTCTATTTCTATGGATTTTATTATGGATCTTCTAGTCTCAGATTCATGTAATTTTATATTTGTGATAATAGATCATTTTATCAAAATAGTATATTTTGTACCATGCATAAAATCTATCATATGTGAAGAAATTGTCAAGCTTTTCTTTGACATTATCTATCGATATCATAGATTGCCAAAAGATTTTATATCGGATATGGAGACTCAATTTGTATCAAGATTTTGGATAATCCTTTCTAATATTTTAAAAATAGACATAAAGCTTTTTTTGGCTTTTCATCCTCAAATTGATAGATAAACAAAGCATATAAACTAAGTTTTAGAATAATACTTAAGATATACCATCAATTATCAATAAGATGATTGGAGAACCTTTTTGCCATTGGCAGAGTTTTCTTATAGTAATGTGATGCATTCTTCTATGCAACAAACACCTTTCTTAGCCAATTATGGTTATCATCAATAATTTGATATTTTTTACTTTTTAAAAGTTGATAATCTTGTGACAAATGATTTGACAAATTGTTTGTCAAAGCTACATGCAACAATAAAGATGCAATTTAAAGAAGCTCAAGAACAACAAAAGTTTAATGTAGATACCTATTGAAAGGAACAACCGTAATTCAATGTAGGTGACAAAGTATGATTACTTCATCATAATATCAAGATTATTTGTCTTTATCATAAGTTGAACTATCACAAACTCAGACCTTTCTATATTTGTGGATAAATCAATCGAGTTGCTTATTTATTACATCTATAACAGTCAATGAAGATCCATCTTATCTTCTATGTGTTTGTTTTTGAACCATACAAGACTATGAATATATCAAGAAAAAATCAAGTCCTACCTTCTCCTATAGAAGTAAATAATAATGAAGAGTTTGAAGTGGAAGAAGTTTTAGACTTAAGGTGGCACTGAAATAAATTGGAATATCTTATCTATTGGTGTAAATATGATATTAATGAATGCACATAGGAGCCAACAATAAATCTTACAAATGTAGTAGAGAAGATCAGAGCTTTTCATCAATGACATCCATCAAAACCAAGATAAAAGATAGCAAATATTTGCCATAAAAGAAACACAATTCAAGAAAGATTGCATTCTACCTTCTATCCTTATTTTTACTTTTTATATAATTGTGGCATTAAAGAGTTGAAGAATCAACAACTAGCAGATTCAAATCAAGAGCCATCATTTGCTGACTTATTGGACAAGAAATTATAATTATTATAGCCTTCGAGATGACATAATAGGCATGAAGACCTTCAAGAATGACATGTTCTTTCTCAAATAGATGGTAAGATACAATGCATTTGTTATTATGACTTGAGAAAAGACTCGCAATGTCTGATGATTTTATTGGAGGTAGAGATGACTCTTGATGGTGTTACAAATGTTTTATTTAAAAAAAGTTACAAAGGTTTTAACAATGATCATATCATAGGGTGATCAACCTATCCTGGAATGGGACATTACTAATGGCTCAAAAGACCTTTCAACTACCTTTGAAGGGGACAAAGCTCAGAGTACATGGCAAATGCAATTTGTTGTATTTTAGACTTCTTTAATATATAATCATCAATACTTGTGAAACTTGTCTGTAGAAGGAGGGATAATGTCACAAATATATATTTATTATAATTATTACTTAGGTAATATGAATAGATAAAAATAAATAAAAGTAGATTAATTTCATTATATCTTCTAGAGAGGCTTCTTAAAAGCTTCTAAGATGCTATTTTGACTTTATACATATTTGTAGTTGATTGATAGGTTAGAAATTTTATCAACAAGCTATCTATATGCCACATGTATGGATAACTTATAGAACAAGCTAATTATATGGCATCCATATAGAAAACTTGACTTGCAAGTCAAAATATGTGTCATATCAAATCAATACGTTTTTGGAGGTCCTATAGAACATCGCTACATAGATCCTAGGTAGATAGTATATATAGATGAAAGAATGAAGTCTTCTTCACTTTTATCAACTCTTTTCTTACTTCTACTCTAGATTCAAGAGTTTCTAATTTCTTTGACTTTTAGCAATAGCCATTCTAGTTTCTTTTTAATATACATACTTCTTTATTTCTATTTTGTCACTTTTCTTTTGACAAGGTTATCATAATTTTATGCATCTTCTTTCAGTTCATGCCTTGACATTCTATTAAGAAAGATTAAGCTTTAATATTATTGAGAAAGAAATCTTAACAAATTTTCACAAATACACTGTATAAGACCAAATAAGAAATTAAATAGAAGAATTTTAATAAGAAAGCTAGCAAAAACTTGATTAAACTAGATGAGTATAAGATCAATATTGAAGTAAGCTAAAGCTCCAAAAGATATATTGTCAAGATTGAGGATCTCCTCAATCTTGACTTTAATATATATTAGGTATTAAAAAGTGTCTTGAGAAGATCTTTTATTACTTAAAGACAAAGCAATTTTAAAAAGCTTCTCAAACAACTTCTTTAATCCTCTTAGAACATTTTAGAATCTGTTAGAATATTCAAAAGCTTTTTAGGACCTTTTAAAATATTTTAGGAATATTTTAGAAATATTTTTAGAATATTTTAGAAATATTTTTAGAATATTTTAATAGAATATTCTAAGAATTTTTTAGAACATTTTATAACCTAATAAAATATTCTAAGAATATTTTGAAAATCGTTTTCTTAGATTTTTGTAATAATATGTATGTTTTCATATACATATATATATATATATATATCCAAAGTTTTAGTATAATATGCCAAGTTAGAAGAAATTTAAAATAGAAATAAATTTGTTGATTAAAATAAAAATATGTATATATTTATACTTGGTCAAATCTAATAAACTTTTAAATAATATAGATACAACATCTTTTTAATTAATCTTATTACATTGCATTGTTACTTTTTAGTCATTTTTTGTAGTATGATGAGCTAATAAAATTATTTTATTTAAAAATTTTAATAAATTTAATAAATTTTAATTTTTTTAATTAAGCTAAATTTTCAATGATACTTTAGTTAATTTTTGAAAATTATTCTTTTATATATATACACATATACATGTATATATTTACACAAAATTTAATATTTTATTTTTAAATCATACAATTTAGTTCTTAAAATTTTTTAAAATCTATAAAGTGGTATATCTGGTAATTTGAAATTACTATAAAATAATAGCCATTTTATCTTATTTTAATTTTTGATGTAGGTAATCTTTTTTGGATGTACATTGGAAAGTGTTGAAAGATGAGAATAGATTGAAAGATACATATGACCAAACCTCCTTTCAATTTATTACTGTCCTGTGTGTGACTCTTGCATACTTCCTTGATTTGAAGTTTAAAAGGGACTAATAGCTTTAAAAATGGTTGCTTTCAATGATAAAATTTTGATTAATTCTTGACAGAATTAAAATTTTCTGTTACAAACAAGTTTTATTTGAACTTCCTCGTTGTGTATGTACATGTGTTTCTGTATATGCATGTACATGTAATTCATTTTCTCTTTCTGATGCCTTGTGTTGATGCTTTTTGGTATAAATAAGAATATTTGTAATAAATATTCCATCTATACAATGTAAGTGTACATGATGTCTCAGAAAATCAACAAAGTTGGCATCAATAAGATGTATCATCATGATTATTGTAGAACTCTCTATTTATTTGTATTTACTTTTTTGATGACAGTTTAAAAAAAAAAAAAAAAAAGAAAAAAGAAAAAAGCCACAAACTAAGAATCTGAAATGCATGATATTTGTGCTCAACAAAATTTTGATAATATACACACACACACACGCATACACAAAATAAATTCATTTATATATATATATATATATATACATACATACATCACAATGTCTTGTTACATTGTTACATTTATATAAGATGTGTTTGATGTATTTTTTATTTTGGTAATAATTCTTTTTTTTTCTAGTTCAATAATTCTTCTTGCTTTCTTTTTCAGAAAAAACTGCATGCCTACTCAATAGCTGCTGAGAAGACAGAAAGCAATGCAGTCATGTCCACATGATGTATGAATATTCAAGATTTTGTAGGCAACAAACTGCATTCATCTTGCACAAGAGGATGCATGGGGCTCAGGACCCATAAAAAGGGAAACAATAGTAAAAAAACTACAACAGTAGGGTGAAAGAAGAGAAGAGAAGCAACATGAAGTTTCAGAATGTTGTAGTATACAAGAATTATTCATTTTCATCCCTTGTCCACATACCCTACTATTCAATACAAGGATGGGTTGAAATTCTCCAAGAATTAAAATGTCCATAAGTTGTTTCCATCATCATGTGGCAGCAGCAGCAGGAGCACAGTTCATGTGCTTCACATCATGACAAAAGTTCACCATCACCTTCATGTCAAGCAAGGAGCCAGCTAGTGCTAGTGAAAGTATTGTGAATTTTTGGCCTCTACCTTCTGACATGAGTATACAGAAAGCTCCCCTTGATTGCTCCCAAGAAGTAGTTCCAAGGAATTCCCTAGAGACTGGGATTCAGTGGGTAGAACTGAAACAGAAGGTCATAAGTATAGACACATTCTGGGTTGATGGTGCTACTTTATTTATCATGTGTACCTCTGCTTGAGATAATTTGATTGGTTGTGATTTCTCTAGTTCTATGAGGAGTGAAAATGACTGACAGCTTAGCTGTATATAAATTGAGTATACATCCAAGGAAATCAAGCTAATGCTACATCTATATGCATATCTATCTATCTATCTATCTATATTTGTATGTTTATGAATCACTAAATTGATCACTAAATTGCTTGTAGCAATAAAACAATATCACAATTACTCCATGCAAAGAATGAGCCAATTAAAATGAAATGAGTTGCATGTGATAATGCAATGCACAATGATGGGTGTGCCAATGAAAAACCAATAAGGTATGCCTTCTCCATTGCTAATTCATGGGCGACTGCAGCCACACTAGTAGTGGGTATTCTCCCTCTGCTGTAAGTCACCGCATTTGATGCAGTGGATATAACAAGAGCACCCTTTTGAAATAATGCTGCGTGTTAGCCATGCAGCGATGCTGTAAAAAGCGCATAATTCAATCGAATCATTGGCTGTCGTGGTTGTACTTGCGGTGGATACTTCTCAAGCTCCAATAAATCTTGGCCTGTGAGAAGTAGCTGATAATCCTTGCTGGACCAGCCAGAAGGGCCTCAACCAGGTTCAATAGGAAAGACTCGGACGGTGCAAATCCCCGAGTGAGAATGACGAGAATGGGACCCAACCCAAAGGTAGTGGTGATCAAGAATGTGCCCCTCTTGATGCCAGAGAGTGCAATTTTTGCGACGGTCTCTGGGGATTGAGCGGATTTTCGATTGTAAAAAGAGGCCACCCCCATTCCTGAAGTCAGCTCCTCTTCATTGTCGACTGAAAGAGGACAGAAGTGTTTGAAATTAGACATAGAAAGCCACATGTAAAGTAATGACAGACAAATGGTTGGCACACACATGGCAACTTCTTCTGGAACAATAACGCTGGTCGAAGAGTACATTTCCTTAAGGTCATTGTTAATAGCGGTTCACTCACCAGAATCCAAAAAAGCTGTTTTGACGAAACCTGGACACACCAAATTCACGCGCATATTATAAGGCGCGAGCTCCAGCCGCAAATTTTCCGCTATTCCCTTAACTGCATACTTGGTTCCGGTGTATACTCCATTTCCATACAACCAGCACTGTGCAAATTCGACAGTTTCTAGGCGTCAGCAACTATGAACTGAAGCAACATGTATGAGATTAAGAAAACATGCATTCCGCAGAGTTTGTAACCCCTCTTTGCAACTTCCCCAGCATTGTTGCGAGATTAATCCTGCTTTGCATAGCTAGGGATCGTTCCGCACATTCAGTCCAGACTTAGCACAAGAATTTCTCAAAAAATTCAATTCTATGGTACTCCAACTGAATTAACTTGCAACCAGGCAACCACAATATATTTCAGTGTATTTCTTCAAATTATCTGTATGTTTCCGAGTAACATTTGATAGATTGTAACCCTTTCTTACCAAGGACGCCAAGCTGCCCAGGAAGACGATGGATATGGGGTGGTCACGGCTTCGCAGCTTGAGCTGAGGTAACACAGCGTGCAAGGGATACACTGAGCCGAGCAAATTGGTTTGCACCACTACATTTATGTCTTCTACGGTGAAGTCCTCCATAAAACCACTCCTTGTTAGCCCTGCATTGTTGATCAATATATCGATGGGTCGCCAGTCAAACGATTCCCTCACGGCTTTGGATATTTCTTTGTAATTGGTCACATCTGCTGCCTGTGTTTAAAACATTTATGATGAGGATTGTCAATGACGTGCATAGCGCCATAGATGGACGCAAACAATACGTGCAAGGTGCCAATCGGAAAACTCGGGTGTTGAGATGTCTATTCCTACAAACTCTGACATTTTTCCACTGCACTTCAATATCAAAATTCTCAACACACGTAGAATGCACTAATATGTCTTCTTGTACCTTCACCAGCACTTGCTCCGGAGAACATTCCAGCTGCTTGAGCAAAGACTTCGCGATTATACCCATTTTCTCGCCATTCCTTGCGACAAGAGTAAGATACGCGCCTTCTCGTAGAGCTTGCTTAGCTATCTCCAAGCCGATGCCACTTGAGGCGCCTGTAAGGAATAAATGCTTTCCTCGCAGGTTGGACATGAATGGTTTCTTTGGCCACAGTAGTGAAATGCATAACGTAGCTAAAACGGCAATAACAATCCATGAAAACTGAAAATACATTTTATAGCACTGCGCAGTCTGCTCGCAAAACTCTACTTGCAACAAACAGCGTACTCGATGCCCAACAGGTTTGCGGTGCGTTCAACTAGTTCGGCACTAGTACAACTGCGCTGAACTTTACTATAATAAAAGAGACAATAGAAACTGGACAGTTGCACATGGCAGTGCTATCTGCTCTCGAAAGATGTTGCACGCGTCCGAGATAAAATGAGAGGTCCTCTGCCAGACAAGAGTGTTTTCAAAATGACTGGTCTCCGCTTAGAGAAGGAATTGTACAAAACCACTCATAGCACGTCCCCAGTACAGTTTTCTGTTTGTCTCGCAAGGGGGGCTACCTCCTTCAAAGCTCACAAAAAAGATCCACACAAGTACTATGAACACGTAGTTACTACTTCCCGCAACCTCGTCTACGGGAAAAGGTCGAATGTGGGAATCGAAGAGAAGATAGTGTCAAGCATATGAGCAAGACTAAGGCAATTCGTTGAGCTTGAAGTTCATAATGTATAGGAGTGTCTTCCGAGACTAGCCTCATTAGGAGAATAAACACAGCTTTGTGTACAAGAATTACTTCCAGTAACGACAAAACCTCGCGGCTCAACAACCAATCACTAGCACCATTTAATCGAGAGAGAAAACCACGATTGCACGACTCATTTTAGAGACGACTTTCCATGTCATATTCACATGCAAGTCCGGCTGTGAGACGGTCGTTTCCAATCTTCCCTACTCAAGCCACCTCCAAGAGCTCCGCACTGCCACACACGTGCAAGCGTTGCGAAGAATAAACGAACAATAAAAAAAAATATCATCGGAATGCTCACCTGCAGTTGCCGGACACTGTAACATGAATGTCAGAGACGGTCTGCTTTTCAATGTGCTTCACTGATGATGAGTCGCTACGGCACCAACTGCTACGACGATCGTTCTCCCACTAACCTCATATCGCTCTAATTAAATCCACCGGTCGTACGCCTTACAAATACAAACTGCATCAAAGCGGACGTCCATTCCTCCAAGATACACTAGTCCTTCTGCAATGATTCTCTCTGCATTTCCTCTCCCTCCTCAGTCAAAGCGCTTCTCAAATTACTTCTCCACCGGTGATGAACTCACATCAAAGTATCCACCAGCAGAAGTTGTTTCGGATCGGCTACAATCCAAGAATCACAGCATTGATCGCCACCAGATTACACCGCTTACGTTATCTTATAATGCTCCTGCTAGCCGCTGGAGGATTACGCATGAAGATCAGAGAATAGACTCCTCTTTCTCTGACAGGGAAGCTCAAGAAGCAGGCTACGAAACAGAGATGAACCTTCAGTAAGTTCATCATAACCTAATCTCTGGAACATATTGCCAGAAAATTGTTATTACACTCCGCAGGGGTATTCCTCTCTCCAGAGCTTCTGAAGAGGTTGTTTGGCGCGCGGCTCGGGCCATGTTTTTAGCGGCCTTTCATGCGTACCGGTCTTCAGAGCTTCGCTGCGCCTCGTTGGTGCAATTGTTATGGACCAGCAACGAAGGCGAGGGCGACGGCGAAAACGACGACGACGACGAAGAGATGTTGTAGACATGGCCACAAGCTTCACCAAATGCTGTTGGATACTCTCATGAAACATGTTTCCTAGGGTCTCATGTAGTGGTCATCAAGATGAAAAATCCTAAGTGGAAAATAATAACAACAACATTATTATTAATATTAATGTTAATGGCTATAATTGATCTTGTACCATTTGATAAGTTTAAAAAAGTACACTTCCGTGAATGTATGTTTGTATGCTAATTTCTTTGAGATTTTATAGTAGATCCCTGTTGTCAAATCTTAACAATGTATCAAGGACCTTTTGCATAGGTTTTTCTTTTGTTATATATGTGCATATGTGTATATATATATATATATATATATAGAATTTTGTATTATTTTATTAATATCATACTTTAATATCATTTCTAAATTTCTGAAAAATACAGTAAGGATTTACTCTTTCAGTAAAATATAAATTGAATTTCAGGATTTTGTTACTAAAAGGAGATGTTTAATGTATATTAGAGGCCATGTCTTAAAGGTTCTTTTACAAGTAATGTGTTCTTATAACATGATATATATATATATATATATATATATGGGAATGTTAAATAAATCCAAGTTTTTGTTAAATCCACCTATCTATGATAAAGAATATGGTAATCATGATGAATGTGGATGGTTTTCATTGGTTTGAGATCCAACAGTGGTAAAATGAATCTAAAGATAATTTTTTAATTTAATTCTATTTAATTTTTATGATGGTTAGGAAGATTGGGTCTATTTAACGTTCCCCTATATATAGAGTTTGTTAAGCTATAATTGAGGCAGTTTTAAGTGCACCTTGATTGGAAATGATTACAACTAATAATAATAATACAATACTGAACGGCCAAATCTAAATGCACAATTTCGATTGGCTAATGCAATAGATTAGGCACACTTGTATTATTTTATTATGTACATTTGACACAGTACTCCTCCATGACCATTCTGACATTTAACTAGATAAATTTGTTATTTCAAGTCAGCGGGATGAATGGATTTTAGTGACACTCTCATCCATTCAATCCTAAACTTAAGTATAATAGATAAATATCACTGTATGTACACATGTATTAAAATTTTCCATTGTATAGATTTTATTTATTTCGAAATTTGCATGTTCTTATTTTCTGATGATAATTTAATTTGAAAGCTTGGATGCTAATGTACTCCAACTTGTTAATAATTGCAATGAATTCAACCAACAGATGTCAAAAACCTTGTGCATTGGTTTTGCAAAAGTTCAAGACTAGAATTCAAGCATCAGAGTTTTCTGTTGGGGGACCCTTTAGAATCCACACTTCAAGAGTAAACAATATACCTTGTATTCAATGTGTATATTTGGATTTAGAAAAAAATAATTTATGCAATTCCTCCATGAATTTTTAGAATATTTGCAAAATAAAATTTGCTTGCAATAGCCAAAAGTATAAATAAATAAATAAATAAAATAAAAATCTTTTGCTTTATTACTTTATTTACACAAGCAATTTAAGAAATATGTAAGTAGTGAAAGATCGTTCATGTTTTCTAAATCTGATACAAGGTAGGGTTGAGCGATAGAACAAAGTCATGACTTTTTCTTTTTCTTTTTCTTTTATCTTTTTTTTGTGACAACAGTTTGCAATCCAATTACAGTCAGTGTAAATAATTCATAATATCTTTAAAATGATTTTCCCAAGAAATATTTTATATATTTGAAAGTCAAAATGAAGCATTTTATGCAAACCTTGAGTATGTTGAATTTCTCAAATGTGATTGTGTTGAATGTTTGCTCAAAACTTGCAATTGACATCCAGAAGGGAAGTAGATTTTTGGGGCAGTGCGCTTGATTTTTAGTATTTTAGCAGCAAATCAGATAAATAAATTTATTTATCAACAATTTCTATCAGCAAAACTAGGGTATTCTTTATCATGCTTATATTTTTTGCTTTATTTTTATTTTTCTGTTTGTTAGTGAAGGAGTAGCATCAACTATTGTATTTGGGGTATAGGACTCTTTGGCAACATTCTGCTGTGCAAAAGTTGTCCAAGATACCAGTGATTAGTGCAATGAACTAAATGTTGGTGCACAGAAGTAACTGTACAGGAGTGAATTGATTTATTGTTGTATAAGCATCTAGATCTGTGGTCTTTGGTAAAGTTTCCATGGCCATAGAGTATAACCACAAAAATACAAGACACACAACTATGGGCCATAATTGTAACAACAAGAAACATCCATAATCATGAGACCATGCTGATGTTCTTAAATATTCTTGAATAATAAACATTCTTATATAAAGTTCTTAAATAATAAATATGATGTTTATATATATATATATATATATATATATATAAAAGTAATGTACAGATTATATCTTATAATTTAAATAGCATTATCATAATGAAGTAAAAATAAAAATCAAGGTAAAAATAAACTATATGTTTTTAGTATTTCCTATCACATTTTAAGAACTTTTAAAAGCTTTAAAAGCATTTTTAATTTTCTATATTTCTAATGAACCTCTTACAATATCTAAAACATTTTTTAAAATCTTCACAAGCTTCTAAGAGTTTCCACAATCTTTTAGAATCTTCAATACCATACTAGAAGCTTGTGCAAAGGATCCTTTAAAAGTTCACAATCACTCATATTTTTTTAGTATATTCTGTAGAATCTTCTATAAATCTTAGATTTAATAGTACAAACAAGAAGCAAGAAGAGAAGCACTTAAGATTCGTAAGAATAAGTTTAGAAACAATCTATGCTTTGTCTTATTTTTTATTTAAAAATTAATATTATTAATTTTTAATCATATTAATTTTTAATATATATATATACATTTATGTACATTCATCAAGCATCTTAATTAAATAAATATTATTATTATTACTATTATTATCATAATATTTATATGTCTTTTGTGCTACCAAAACTTTTAGCTTTTATAACATAAAATATTTAGTACTAAATGAATTAGTATTCTATACACACTTATTTAGATTGTTAAGTGATTATATTCAATATTGCTTGTTTATAAATATTAAATCTTTTTTTAGATTTTTGAAATTCGAAGATGGGTAATCTATTTTAAAATATATACAATTTACTTTTTGTAAATTTTACAAGTTTTTTTAATAATTACTTGGTCTTTTATTACCTTAAGAAATATTAAAATTGACATACACAAATTCTCTAATCAAGTACTTTTTTAATAATATACGTTTAAAAAATTGACATAAATGATAACATTCTTTTAGTTGACTATAGGCAAAAGATTATAAAATAAAATGTAGCTAGGTAAATTATCAAGTATAACTTATAGATAATAGTCTAATTTAAATTGTAGTTTTAAACACACTATTAAATTTTTTAACCTACTATGTTTAAATTTATTTGTTTTAATAGTATTATCACCAATTCAATAATTAAAAAAAAAATCCTGATCCAAGAAATGTTTCACATTTTTTTGGCGTTTTTTACATATTTCTAGTAATATTATTGATATATATATATATATATATATGTGTGTGTGTGTGTGTGTGTGTGTGTGTGTGCTTATATATATGTATATATATGTACTTATAATTTTTTTTTATAAAACTTTTCAAGCTTGTGTAATATTACCAAAAATTCTTCTAAAATACACATGGTTTGATCTATAATAAGAAAAAAATCTTATTATTATTATTATTATGATTATGATTATTATGTTGTAATTAAAAAATGATCTTAAATATATTTTTTTCAATGCAAATTTAATATAACATCTTTGTGAAAAAAAAATTCCTAGCTTTATTATTTACAATAAAATAGAAAATATCATTTAAAAAATATATATATAACTAAAAACACATCAAGCCAAGTTAATTTAAGATAGAAACCAATTCCAAGAACTACCAACATGTTCTTCAAACATGATTGCAAATCTAGTAATTTCCTTAATAGCAATATAATTCTTTTATCATATTAACATTGCAATACCTTATTACTAACATTTTCATGTCAACCATCTATTACACAATCATCATATTATGTAATAATTAAATCTTATTCTACTGCTGTAAAGAAGGTTTTTCTTAATATTTTTAACGTCCTATTTCTATTATCTACAAATTTAAGCCATTGAATTCAACACTCCTAGAATGAAATGGTTGAATTTTATTTTATTTTATTTTTTATTCAATGAAAAAACAAGCAAAAATTATCTCTGTTAATCTAGTTTTTGCATCCA